TCAGGTGTCCCAATCCACCTAGCCTTCTCCCTGCCTTCTGGAAAGTTCTTAATTGGCCCCAGGTGTCTAAATTGACCTGGAGCTGCAGCCATTTAACTTATCCTGGTACCAGGGATTTGTTTAGCCTGGAGCTAATATATGTATCTCCCACTACTTTTCTATAGCCATCTGGCCTTGCCCCATCACAAAGGATAAATGGACCTAAATCAGACATTGAGAAGGGCAACGTACAAAAGCCAGTAGAACACTTCAATCTTCCTGGACATTCAGTAACAGATTTAAAAGTAGCCATTTTTCAACAGAAAAACCTTCAAAAACAGACTTCAAAGAGAAACTGCAGAGCTACAATTCATTTGCAAACTTAACACCATCCATTTGGGCTTGAATAGGGACTTGGAGTGGCTGGCTCACTACAAAAGCAACTTTCCCTCTCTTGGTATTGACACCGCCTCCTCAGTTATTGGGAGTGGACCACATCCACCCTGACTGAATTGGCCTTCAGCATTGGTTCTCCACTTGTAAGATAACTCCCTTCTCTTCATGTGCCAATATATATATTTATGCCTATATCTGTAATTTTCACTCTATGCATCTGAAGAAGTGGGTTTTTTACCCACAAAAGCTTATGCCCAAATAAATCTGTTAGTCTTTAAGGTGCCACCGGACTCCTTGTTGTTTTTCTAGATTGATAAGAATGTCAGTAAAACAAAGGATATTACAATAATGATTTCCCTTGGATTTACTGGGCCAAATTCTCTGGGGATGGGTAACTTTACTGGAGTTAAAGCAGCAAAGAATTTGGCCCATATGTATTTGCTTCCAGTGTTAAATTATGTGGAGTCATAATTCAGGAGTAGAAAGCTGAAGATCTGCCTTCCCTGCAAAAAGAAAAATGTGTTTTTTACATGGAGATAGCCAACTTAAAAAAGCTCTTTTAGGGTACATCTACATGGGCATAAAAGCCCTGTGGCATAGCTGCTGCTGGCTGAGGTCAGCTGACTTGGGCTTTCAGGGCTCAGGGTGTGGGGCTAAAAATTGCTGTGTAGATGTTTGGGCTCAGGCTAGAGTCTGAGCTCTGGGACACTGCGAGGGTGGAGAGTCCCACAACTAGGACTCCAGCCCAAACCCAAATGTCTACACAGCAATTTTTCAGCCTTGGAGCCTGAGCCGCCTGAGCTGACCGGAATCAACCACAGGTTTTTAATCCCTGTGAGTCATGCCCTCAGTGTAAATCGCAGTGCAGACAAGGCACAGGTAATTTTTATGTCAGTGTAGTTAGCTGGCATAAACCCTGGAATGGGGTTCTAAGTACATCTCAACTAGCTATATTGAGATGTGAATCTACCCCGGGCTTGTGTCCATTAAGATTTTACATTGAGTCAACTATCTTGATGTAAAAAACACACCTTTTTTGTAGTAAAGCCATAGCTCTTTGAGACTCTTGGCTTTAATGAGTCTGATCGTAGCTGAATGTGAGGTTTGGGCTATTTCTGCAGCTGGTGTATAGGAGGAGTTTGGTAAATTTACTAACATAGTATATGCAGCATTTCCCCAACGTTATGATTTTCAAAATTTTATGATTAAAATATGATATTGTGCACTTTTCTGGGTCTGCATATGCCAAAAGTTTACATTAACATTAAGCATTAATCCTGAACAGATTTCAAAAATCAACTGCTCCATTGGAGAAGGAATATTTGTTTTGTATTGTGGCACTGTAAAATATACTGCAGGTGTTTTGAACCTAGAGAATTTAAATGAAAATTATAGACCCTATCTACTTCAGTAGAAAACCTTTCATTTTTAAACCTTATAGCTGCAATTCTTCTAGCAGTATATTCAAGTTAATGCTATTGTTCAGGTAATGGAACAATAATTAGCTTTCCTCAATTTAAATTTGTCTCTTATGACTGTATGCAATCCTGATGCTTTTACCTATCATTGTTCCTAACGTGTGACAGTTGGAATCCTCCATCATCATTAGCAGGTCTCCTTAGAACAGTACAGCTTTTAGTATGCAGTTTTCCACGTACTTCACAAACATTAATGAATTAAAGTTCCCAACAAGCCTGTGAAAGGCAGGTAAAGAATATATGATAAACTAAAATGTAAATATGTGGATCACTGGCTCATGACTACCGATGTTAGAGGGAAAATATGATCAAGTATTAGTAACAACTTACATTTATGTTATAACTTTCATCCTGAGGTATTCCACAGTGCCTTACCAAACAATATTCTGGAATCATGTCACTTGCCACTGAAATGAACCCACCTCCAGTGCAGAGTTGGTCAGAACCTGAAATTCCCATTCAAAGGGAAAATTCCCCCCCCCGCAAGATTTTGAATTGGAATAAAAAAATAGAAAATTTGAAATGTATTGCAAAACTAGAAAAATACAAACATTTTGATTCAACCTTATCAAAATATTTTCATTTTAATAAGGTCAAAGTAGTTTCATTTTCACATTATCAACTTGAGTATATAAAAGAATATAATTTAATTAATTAGTTATAGTTGTTAAGTCCTCAATATGTGCGCTCAGTGCAGTGCTGTGGCAAAAAGGACTAATACGATCCTTGATTATATAAAAAGGGGAATATCAAGTAGAAGTAGGGAAGGGAATCTTGTGTCTATACAGAGCATGGCTAAGACTGCTACTAGAATACTGTGTCCAGTTCTGGTGTCCACAAACTTCAAGAAGGGTGAGGGAATACTAGAGAGAGGTCAAAGAATGGCCACACCAGTGATCCAGAGGCTGGAAAACAAGTAAGTGAGCTGTAGCTCACAAAAGCTTATGCTCAAATAAATTTGTTAGTCTCTAAGGTGCCACAAGTACTCCTTTTCTTTTTGGGAATACAGACTAACACAGCTGCTACTCGAAATCTGTGTATAGACACTTACACATGGAAAAGATAGGATAGTGGGGGTCTCTTCCTCCTGGTTGATAAAGGCATAACAAGATCCAATAGCTAGAAATTGAAGTTAGACAAATTCAACCTTGAAATAAATACAGTTGCCTAGTAGTCATGGCAATGAAACATTGGAACAGCTTTCCAGGAGAGGTGGTGGATTCACCATCACCATTAAAACCAGATCAGGGAGCTTTCTAAAAAACATGCTTTAATCCAGCATTGGGCTGGGTGGTTGTGATGGCTCCTTCTGGCCTTAGAATCTGTGCGTCTGCAAATTTATGAATCTCGCTGATCATCCCCTTCCTTCACTGGCAACGGATAGAACCGAATCGATTGCCTGGATTCCCTGCACCATGCTCATAACACTTGCAACTCTGCATTATGACAATGACTGTAATCAAATCTCCTTCAGGGCTTCAACCGGTCACATGTAGGTGTCAGAAAGGATTTTTTCCTCCCTGATGCACAATCGCCTAGATGTATTCTTTCTCCTACCCCCCCTCCCCTTTCTTCTAAAGTATCACAGATTGGCCACAGCTGGGGATAGGTCACTCACAGGGTGAAATAGTGCTCTGAGATGGTACCATATTAAGAATCTTCTTTCTAGATGCCTGGCTGGTGTGTCTTGCTCACATTCTCAGGGTCAAACTGATCACCAGATTTGGGGTCAGAAAGGAGCTTTCCTCTCATGTCAGATTGGTAGAGATCTTGGAGTTTTGGGGTTTTTGCCTTCCTGTGTAGCATGGGGCTTGGATCACCTGCTAGAATCACAGAGTCGCATCTCATCAAATCAATTTCTTTCCTTTGCAGGGGCCTTGGGCATTGGTGGTACTTCAGTCTCTTGTGTTCTCTGCCTATGGCTCACAACACTTTAGTCTTCTGAGGACTGAAATGCTTTGGTTTAACTAAAGTCACTGGGCTTAGGGTAAGGGTATCTAGAAGAAACTCAGTGGTTTGTGATATACAGGAGGTCAGACTAGATGGTCTAATGGTCCCTTTGGGCCTTAAATGCTATGAACCTATTAATTATAAAAGTCAAAATGTTTTGACTATTATACTATGCAATGCCATATTATATATCATGGCAGGACATTCTGATATGACATAATAGAGTCAAAGAATTTCAACTCTGATATTCTATTTTATTGCCATTTAATTTACATTGTATTTTTTTTACTATATATTATAAATTGTGAATTGGTAATTTGTTTTTAAATTGGTATTTTAAGTGGTAGTTGGTATTCTAACTGGCAACTACTATTCTAATTGCTTATTGAGGCTTTTGGTTAATTGGTACTCAGCTTGCTCAATTGGTATTTTAAGTAGTTATTTGTAATTAGAGTTCTAATTGGCAATTGACATTTGTTTAGTAATGGATTTGGTAATTGGTAATGTCCAGTTGTAATTGATATTATATACAAATATAAAATAAACTCTGTGTGTGTAAAAATGGACAGTTAGGGAGCCAGCATCATACTGGAATGTTCATAGAATCATAGAATATCATGTTTGGAAGGGACCACAGGAGGTCATCTAGTCCACCCCCTTGCTCAAAGCAGGACCAATCCCCAATTTTTGCCCCAGATCCCTAAATGGCCCCCTCAAGGATTGAACTCACAACCCTGGGTTTAGCAGGCCAATGCTCTGCCAAGACGTTGGACCTCTACTCTAAACAATCCTACTCTTGAGAAAAGTACCATGGGGTCTATAATGAGAACAAGGACCTCCAGGCTTGTCATATCCAATATACAGAATAATTCAAAGCTCTTTCAAACGTTAATTACAGTTTCTTATGCACTGATCAACCTAGTGCTGTGAAATCAGCAAGCCAGCTTATTTCATAAGAACATAAGGAAATGCTTCTATTAGGGCTGTTTGAAAATTTTCCATCAAACCTGTTTCTTGATGGAAATTTTTTTTTTTTTACAAAATACATTTTTTTCACAGAAAGTGTTCTCTCTCTGTGGAAAACTTAAAGTTTGAAAAACCAAATGCCCAAAAAGCTTATGGTTTTAGGCTGTAAACCTAAATAGTTTGACTGAAAAATGCTGCTGTGTTGCCTCCTGGGAGCTGACGTTTGGTTACCTTAGTCTCCATTCTCCTCTGTGTGCCTGACTCCTCAGCCCGACTTCATCTCCTCTGATGCATCATGGGCATGTTACTCCCACACTGCACTGCCTCTCCACCCCACGACTCTCCACACCAAACTGTGGTGCATCATGGGAGATGATCAGGCAGCCTGGTATATAAAGGAGAAAGGAACCATGAGGAACCTGAACTACAAATCTCACGAAACATTGCAGCTGCTTTTACAAACTGAAACCATTTTCCGACCAGCTCTAATTACTATATACAAAATAAATGAGTCTTTCCACATATCACAAATGGAAGGAAAAATAACTAGGTGTTTTGGACCAGCAGAGCATTCCAAGCCATTCTCAGCATTTGAATGGTATGTCTGGAGGTGGAGGCAGAATAACATGTGCATCCATCTGGCGGAACAATGCACAACTAATTCTTGGAATACTGAAACATACAGTTAATGGTAGGCATGGGGATTACCACAGACAGCTTAGACAAGAAGATTCATAGACAGTGTTATTTTGGGCCATAAGAAGATTGGGGCCTTCTATAATGAACGAGAATACTTTTACAAGAATTGATGTGCTTTAGAAGCATTAACAGTAGAGCTCATTCCAAATTTTCCAATGAAACATTTTTTCATTGGAAAATACTGATTTCTCAAAACTGATACTATTTGTGGTACACGTTCAATTTTGATACCTCTCCTGATTTGAAAAATTCTGAAAGAAAAAATTTTGAAATGATCAAAATGGCCTGTTTTGACATTTTCAGAATGGAAAGTTTTGGTTTTGGGTTCAAAATGATTTTTCGTTTTGAAAGAAAAAAAGGCTAAAAAAAGTTGACATTAAAGTGAAACCTTTCAAAATGATCAATCCAATTTTTTTATTTTTTTGGATTATTGTTTCATGAAAAATTCCAACATTTCACTTTTTGTTCATCTGGATTCAGGATGGGAAATTTTCTGTGAAATCTCAAACCCTCAAGGGAGGGGAAAACCATTTCTGACTCATCTTTAATCAGCATGTTTATCAAGATAGTGAGTATAGCCTATATGTTTTGATTAATGAATAAGATGTTACAATTTTACAGGATTGTTTGTGGCCAGTTAGATCTGTCTGAATAATGAAAAAATCATATTTATATACAAATAAATAACCCATTGAATTCAGTGGGTCATAGTATTCATTATGTACAACATGTATAGATGACCCTGGAATTATATGTTAGTACCCAGAAAGCTTCTCAAAGTTTTACCCCAAAAATGTGGTGTTTGCTCTTCATTCTCCTTCTGTTATTGCTTCATTGACCAATCAAAAGAGCAAAAATAATACTGTGTGACCAATCACATACCAGTGATTGTGAATAATGAATAGCACATAGTTACAGTGAATAGTTTATGAATAGATCACAAACCAGACATTGTCTGACAATTATTCGTCCAAGCAAGCTGGTAATACTTGTGAACAGTGACTACAATTACAGCCTTCAGTGCTGGGACTGTCTCATGCATATATGCAGTTCTAGAAGAACGTGGATGTAATCCCATTTGGGCTCCCAAGGTGGTACCATAATATAAATTAAATAATAATAGAACAGACATTGGGAAAGATTTCTGTATCATGACCCCAAAATGGCCTAAATATGTCAAAATGTTGGTTTGGCAAATACTATTTGGCCAAGCATAGACCCTGCAAGCTGGAGACTGCCCTCAAAGCTTATAGGTTTCTACAGGAGTCGAGGGCACTACACCGCACAGCAGGCACTCTATAACTTGCAGGACTGATCCCTTCCTGTACAGTGCTCATATGAATCTCCCAAATCCTGTTCAATGCTGATGAAAATTAATTAAAACCCTATGTGTGTTGCTTGTGCTCTGATGGACTACTTAACTAGCCACGTGAAAAAATGCTCGATCCATGCCATGAAAACAAACACAACCAGATTCACTGTACGAATCTTAAAAGTGACATTTAAGCAATTATGATATAACTGTTCAGAGTGGGGTTTTAGTATATTATCTTTTCTCTGGTGATAGTTGAAACAAGGGAGATTTCTATGTAATACAGATTATTCAGAGCTGTCAATGAGATTGTCCACAGAACACAACTGTCAGTTTTTTACAGTTTGTCTCTTTTATTATATAATCATTCATTGTCCAAGTGGTAAAGCTTTTGGCTGTGAACAACACAAGGAACGTTGTTGCTGACCTTAGCCACTAAACTACTCCTAGGAAAACAATTGTCAAGCAATGAAAAAGACACTGGGCCATATTCTTCCTAAGTATAACTTCACTAAAATGACTGGAGTTTAACAGCATCAATGAAGTTACACCAGGGATGAATTTGGCTGATTAATTTTACGTCCTGTCTATTTTACCAAATACCTTCATCCTTGAATTTGAAAAGCTGCTCTCTGCCTGATATGCTCGAAACTAGTTTTATTTTTAAAGGCAATGGGCCATATCCTTGGGAGACTTCTGGCCACACTGTGTCACTCCAGCTGCACATGGTAGCCATAAATCTGGCAGATCTGGCCATTGGATTCCTTGCTGTCTGAAGGAATCTTTAGTGGTTTAGAGCAGTGATTCTCAACCAGGGATACGTGTACCCCTGGGGACACTTCAGTATTTTAACATTTGATTTTGTAAGCAAGTAGTTCTTAAGTGAGGTGAAACTTGAGGGTAGGCAAGACAAATCAGACTCCTGATAGGGGTACAATAGTTTGGAAAGCTTGAGAGCCACTGGTATAGGGCTACAATAGTGACTTCTATAGCTAGTGTGTGTGGGGCATGGTCAAGTAAAAGGAGTGTGGTGTCTATGGCCCCAAAATCCCTGACTGCTGGAATGGCCCTTGAGGGATACTGGCAGCTGGTGAAAAATACAGCAGAGGCTGCTCTATTTTACAGTGAGGCGCAGTCTAGGGAGAGCCCAAGGTTCACTTTGACCACCTAGGACATGTTCAAATCCAGTTTGCTCTGTCTACACTAGAGTTTAAATCAAGTGAGTTCAAATGTGTTAGCAAACATATTTTAAAATACACTTTGTATCCTAAGGTTTGTCTACACAGGAGATTTTTAACCTTTACAGCTGTACTTTGTGCTGCTTTCAGCAGTGTGTAGTGTTCATACCCACATAGCCCCACTAGCATGGGTATAAATAGCAGTGTAGTTGGTGAGTAGTAATATTATTGGCAGTGTAGTTGGTGAGTATCTAATATTATTTAATGGCTTAGGCGAGTAGAGTACGGACACACCTGCAGTGGTAGGGTATGTGCCCGAGTACATACCCTTCATTATTCTCCACTTGCCAAAGCTGTGCCTCCCCACTTATGCTGCTGTTTTTAGCAGTGTAGTGTCCTGTTGCCTTCCTGCTGTGGGAGACTTTCCCCACCATAGGGAAAGGCTCTGGCATGGGGGAGGCAGCACAGAAAAGCCTATCCCAGCTACCTCACCCTGTCAAAGCCTTTCACGGCCAGCCACAGTGATAGGCTCCAGCACTGGGGAACTGCTGAAACTTTTCCCTCCTGTCTCTCCCATGCCAGAGCCTTTCACAGTGTGGATGCAGAATGCTTTTCACTGCAGCATGTAGCTACACATACCCTATATGCTAATGGCACTGGTGTGTAATGTAGACATAGCCTTAAGTAATTAACTTGAGGTCATGAATACTTTAGTAAAGGCTAGTCTGCATATTTCCCAAATGTTTGATCCAGGCTAATATCTATTAGAAATGTTTGGGCAGTATCAAGACTAGTCTTTAGAAAAGTGTTAGATAGCTCAAGTTAATTAGCAATCACTTATCTCAAAGTAAAAAAATTGCTAGTGTGGACAGGCCCCTAGTGGTCATCGGGCCCCCAGCTTGAGGAAGAATAGAGATAACGTAAAGCCATATTGTGTTCCATGATGTACTAAGCACAACTTGGACAAACCTCAGCACTTGAGCCCATTGGTTTTAAACTACAAAAAGTACATTTCTCTGGTTTAAAAGTGCAACAAAACTCCATAAACAAAGGAATTCTCAGTTAAAGCTAAAACGCCTTCTCTTGTACTCTGGATAAAGACTTGCATTATCAAAGGGCCTCCACCCAGACTGTTCATTTATATCTCCAAGTCTGTAAGGGCAACTTTTTTGCAAACTCAGATGTCAATACATGCAATATGGGTAATTGTACAGACAGATACTATCAGTGTACACTCACAACAGACCCTGGACAGAAACATGGGTATATGCACATCTTAAAACCTGCAGGTAAACAAATATTGGGTGTAAATCAATAGTCCAACCCTGCAAATTCTTGTTTGCTCACATGGAAAGTCTAACTGATTCCAATGGGAGTATGGCATGAGTGAAGATTGCTCACGTGAGTAAGGTTTTGTTAGCTAATCTAGCCCAATTACAGTGTTTACAGTATGATATGTAAAATCATCCAGTGGCTGAATAATGTGTATCTAATTCTTGCAATATCAAAAAAGATTAATCTATGGGTTTAACACTGTCAGTTTAGGCATAAACTACAGGGCAATGTTTGAGGAGGTTAGACTGGAAACATGTAGTCTCCACTAGCTCTGAGTGAAGGGTGGGATTTCAGCTATAAGTCCTTGCTTCTGCAGAGTGAAATCAGATCCTTTTGGAAAACTCCAGCAATCATTATTAATTACAGTGCCACTAAAAGGCACCTCTAGAATATCATTACCTATGATGTTATTTACAACACTGACACATACAATGTCCTTTCAAAAGTACTGACCATAATATTTACAAGAACTTTTCACCTTCTGTTGAGACCCAAAGAGTAATTTATAATACAATATTAAACATGACTTGAGGACCTTTTGTTCTACTTAAACAAACACTTATGTGTCAGAATATTTTGTGCTTAGATTCGTTGAACAAACTGGTCAAAGCAATAGCATTTGCCACAATTATGTTGCTGATTATTTTCTGAACAAACATAGTTTGTGCATGACTTTAGATTTGTACATCTCATTTATGTTTGTTTATAAAATAATTAGCTTGATTTCCTCTGTGCTGAATTACAAATGAAAGCCTACATTTTCCATTAATGTGTTTCAGGGAACAAACAGATCAGCAAACCAAAGTTAGAACACTTTCTTGCTACTCCCTGATGCTTAGAGACATGCTCATCTGGTGATGGTATAAACCACCAATGCCTTGGCATTAGTGCTCCACTCATGTAAAGTTTACAACTAGACAAACATTTTCTATACTGTGCAATTAACACCAAAACCACACTTCCTAATGCAAAATGAGAGCTTATTCAGGATGGTTCACACTCTCAGAGTATGCTCACCTGTGTTAGCTGTGAAGAGTTCCTGATACCGAACAGACAACTTCTGCCATTTGCTTTCAGTGACCAGAACTGGGAAAATACTTTCCCAAGCAAGCCATCCCACCCAGGATCAGATGCACATCATTTTATGGCACGTTAGGAAAAGAGAGGTGAGGGGTATGTGTGTAAAGATCACTCCCACTGGTTCTCGGCTGTAGGGCATGTGTCAGCTATCTTTAGCGGGCACATTAGTTCTGGGATTCTATATAAACTGCAATCCTTGCTGTATTTCTATTTCAGCATTATTAATCCTGGAACTCTGCTCCCATTCTCACCTGTCCACATTCCTCCCAGCCCTTCCTGCCGTACAGGGACCTGATTCCTGCCCCACCAAGGGCTTGCTCCCTACCGATCGCAAGACAGCCAAGGCACTGTTTGTCACTATTCAGTGTGTCCTGAAGTCCTGTCACCTAAGTGCTCTCTGGTTTACATTTCGTTCCACCTCTCCCAGTGTTCCTTGGCTCCCTTGGCTCTGGGACAGAAGCAGCCTGCGCCTGTAGGGTGGGATCCACACAGGGACTCCCAATAACATTCCCAGAAAGGACGAAAGGCTGGGAGAGGAGGAGAGATTAAAATACTCACCGGCTAAAAGGAGGAAGTTCTTCTGCCTTGGATAATCCCTGTTACAGGGCTCGGATGGGGACGGGAAACTTTCCAGCTCCGCGGTGCTGTAAGGAGCACAAGCATCCTGAGACTTGACAGGAACGCACGCAGATACAGGCAGGCAGGGCAGTGGGGCGCAAAGGGTGGAGCGGGAGAGGAGAAGGGGTGCACAGAGGGGGGGCGGCTTTACCAATTTTGCTGCCCCAAGCAGTCGCCGCCGAATGGCCGCTGCCACTGAAACCTGCCGCGGTGGGAAGAGAGGCGGAGCTGCCTCCGAATTGCCGCCGCGGGACACGGACTGCCGCCCCATTCTAAATGCCCCCTCAAGCACCTGCTTGGAAAGCTGATGCCTGGAGCCGGCCCTGCACAGAGGCTGGAACAGAACTGGGCCTCACAGGGGCTGGGAGCACAGAGGCTGGGACAGAACTGGGGCTCACAGGGGCTGAGACTGGGAGCACAAAAGCCGGGGTGGGACTGGGGCTTACAAGGGCTGGGACGGAACCAGGGCTCCCAGGGGCTGGGACTGGGCTCCCAGAGGCTGGGATGGGATTGGGGCTCACAGGGGGTGGGGCCAGGGTGCACACAGGCTGGGATGAGACCAGGGCGCACAAGGGCTGGGATTGGGGGCAGGGGCGGGGAGTTATATGAGCCCATGGTGCCCAGACTCCAGCAATATTCAGGGTCCGGGGGCCTGGCTCCACCAATGTTTGGGGCTGGGTCTCTCCCCCGGTCCCAACTGCTGTCCCCTGCGGCCGGCCCGGAGCATCCCTGACTCTTCCCTGTAGCACCATGCTGTCTCCACTCTGCTGGCTCCTGGTCCTAAGGCTCCCCATTCAACAGTGGCAGGGCAGGCTGCCCTTACCCTGCCCTTCCCACCTTGGACCCTTCCCTTTTCCAGCGGGACCCTCCACCAGCACAGGGGGCCCCCCCTTCCCACAGTCACCGCTCCTGCCCCACACTGGGCAAGGGACAGCCCCATCCCTCACCCCCAGTCAGGCTACAGCAGCAGCAGGGGAGGAGGCCCCATGTGATGGCAGCCCTCCCCCCACCACCGCCCACCACAGAGGAGGCGAGGGGACTTCCTGGACCTGAGAGGAGCCCTAGGAGCACATGCAGTGACAGTGGTGGGGGTGAATGTGCTGCCGGCGTGCTCCCGCCCCAGCAGAGCTCACTGCTGCTGGCGGGGAGAGGGCTGGGGGAGTCCTTCTATCTAGCCTGAGCCCTGGGGGCAGCCTGCCTGCACCCCAAACTCATCCCCAGCCCTGCCTCACCCCCAAGCCTGGACCCCCAGCCAGAACCCTCATCTCCCCTGCACCCTAACTCTCTGCCCCAGCCCTGAGCCCCCTCCTGCATCATGAACCCCTCAGCCCCACCCCACCCTACAACCCTCTGCCCTAGCCCTGAGCCCCCTCCCACACCCCAAACCCCTCATCCCCAGCCCCATCCCACAGCCCTCACTCCTGCACCCCCTCCCTCAGCACCCCCTCCTACCCCCAAACTCCCTCCCAGAGCCTGCACCCCTCATCCCCTCCTACAGCCCCACCCCCAGCCCAGAGCCTGCACCCCAGACCCCCTCCCCCACCGAAACTCCCTCCCAGAGCCTTAGGCAGGTGGGGGGCAGAGTTGGGGGGGCAGGTTCTGGGCGGCACCACCATTTCTACAAGCCTGCCACCCCTGACTGGGGGCACAGGGGCTGGGACAGGACCGGAGCGCGCTTGTTGCTGCTCCTCCTCTTCTGATTTCTCAGGCAGGGTCCGGGCAGGCAGCGAGGGAGCTTTGCTGGTTCCCCCAGGGACAGGCGGCGGCTCTGGCTCGCTTTCTCAGGCTGTGCGTGCCGGGGGCAGCTACCGTGCTGCCTCCCCCAGATCCCGTCCCTGCTGCCAGGAGCCGTGCGCAGCGGCAGCCGCCGACTCGCCTCACCTCTCCGGAGAAGAAAGTTTCCCGGGTGCCGCGGAGGTACGTGCCCAGCTGGTTCCTGGGGTCTGTGCCGGTGCCCCTCCCCGCTGAAGGAAGGGCTGGCTCTGCCTGTCTTTAACTCCGGCAGAGCTGCGCCCTGCGGCGCTCTCTGGCTTTGCGAAGGAAGCCGGAACATCAGCGTGCGTCTCCTTTTCGCTGCTGGCCTGGGCTCAGACGCTCCCACGCGCGAGGGCTCGGCTCAGCTCGGCTCGCTGGGATTTTCCTCCCCCTACCTAGTTAAATGCCCATCCCTATGGGAACAATGTCTTGTCTTCATCTTCTCGCAGCTCTGTCGGGAGTGGATGATCTAATTCTCTCTCTCCCACTTCCAATAGGTGGGAAGATGCGCTCACAGGATGAAAGGCAAGCCTGGACCTGGTTTACATGTGGGCTGCACACCCCCCAGTGTGAGTGCTCAGAACCTCTGCGAATCAGCCCAGAACTAGAGCTGGTCGAGAAATGTGAATGTATTGGGGAGGGGAAGGAAATGGTTTTAAAAAGAAAAGGAGTACTTGTAGCACCTTAGAGACTAACCAATTTATTTGAGCATGAGCTTTCGTGAGCTACAGCTCACTTCATCAGATGCATACAGTGGAAACTGCAGCAGACTTTATGTATGCATCTGATGAAGTGAGCTGTAGCTCACGAAAGCTCATGCTCAAATAAATTGGTTAGTCTCTAAGGTGCTACAAGTACTCCTTTTCTTTTTGCGAATACAGACTAACACGGCTGTTACTCTGAAACCTGGTTTTAAAAAGGGTGTTTTAAATAATTTCCTGCAAAAAAAGTTTTATTTTTGCACAAAAGACTAATTTTTTCCACAATTTTTGAAAACGTTTTAGGTAAAAAAATGTTTTTCTGAAAGTAATTTTTATTTGAAATTTTTATTTGAATTTTTATTTGAAAACCCCAAACTGAAACTTTTATTAAAAAAAAGGGGGGGGGGGATTTGGGTTTCTCTTTTTTTGTTGAACAAACAAACCCCAGAAAATGTAAATCAAAATAAAAAAAAATCATTTTGGTTAAAAAGCCATGCTTTTCAAGACTACTAAGAGCAAGTTTGAAAATATTTCCATATAAGCACTGCAAATATATTTCATTTTGAAGAGCAAATATAAAACAAATCACAGGCCTGAGTCAAAGCCAAGCAGTTTGTGCTTGAATTAGGATGAATAATACAAAAGTGCTTTAGAGAAAGTGAGAGGGCATCAGTGTGTAACTATTTGTTTATTTGATAAATAAGATGATTTTGCACTTCCATAGAATCTCTCTCCCAAGGATCTTAAAGTGCATTGAAACATCAATGTAATACTTATGAAGATATGATTGATTCCCATTTTACAGACTGGGAAACCGTGATGCAGAAAGATTAAGTGATTTGTCTTAGGTAACACAGGAAGTCTGTGGAAGAGCAAGACATAAGACCCTGACATCCTGTCTCCAGATGCTGTGCTGTAGTGGCAAGATTATGTTTCTACTTGCTATGAATAAACATGTGTATGTGTAAATGGCAGAGGATATGAGAGTGTGTGTGTTCATCCTGGGAGACAGTTTGCTCAAAAATATTTGAGATTCCCTGGGTCTTACTTTATCATAACATATATTTTTTATTACCGCACATTTTATACAAATTGCAATATTTCATAATTTGCACTTAGGCAGGGCATCTGTTTTATGTTAAACATATAAACAGCTGTTAGATTTAAAAGATGTTATATTGTAAGGGAGAGTAAATAATTTTTCTGTTTTCTTCCCCCATGTCTGTTTAAAATCACACTTGACTTTTTCATCCACTTTCCAGTTCTTTCCTGTTTAAATTGTACTACAAAAAGATACACTTAAACCCTGTTGGTAGATTGTGAAACAACTTCTTCTAGATGCATCCGATGAAGTGAAGCTGTAGCTCACAAAAGCTTATGCTCAAATAAATTGGTTAGTCTCTAAGCTGCCACAAGTACTCCTTTTCCTTTTGCGACTACAGACTAACACGGCTGCTACTCTGAAACTTCTTCTAGGTATTTTTTATCTAAATCACATAGAACGGCTGGAACAAGGCTTTCTCATCCAGCCTAATTTACACAAACTCAGTATTCATCAACATGTATGTGTCATAGGATGAACTATAATGAAACAATTTCCTCCAGGCCTAGTCCAGAGCTGGTATCAGCCAAATGCAAGGGAAATTAATAGTAATCCTTATTTGGTGTAGGAACAGCCAATGCTCCTTTTTATGGCTGGTAAGTTTGCAGTGGCACTAACACTGCAGGGTATGGTGGAACTGAAAGTATCAATATCAGAAAGACCAGATTCTGGCAGGTGTACAGTACACGGCTATAAACCTAACTCTTTTCTGTACACTTATTAAGGATTCCTCTTTGCTGTTGAAGACAATTCAGAATGTTCAATTACAATTAAGTAACTGTACAGTTCCTTAAGAAAGTGGGGTTGTTTGTTTTGTTTTCTTTTGTTTTGTTTTTTAATCATTCTGACCATTTTGGACATTTATGCTCAAGTACCTGATCAGCTAAATCTCACTCATAAGTTACTGTTCAACCATCTGTTTTAGAAGTTCTTTTTGTGGGAAAAATAATACAGCCATCATGCCATCCATAAGGTCTACAGGGAAAATTGATACTTTTACTATAACAAAGACTGCAGCACAGATAATTAGAGTTCAAGCCATCCTTCTGCCTGATTAGAGTTCAGTGCTTCTTTGTGTGTTTGGTATGCTCACCCACTACTCGATTAATACTGTGTTAAGCTTCATACCTGTAGCAATTTCATCTTCAGTCCACTCTACTGTGGCTTTTAACCTCCTAATTCACTCACACATAAGTTCAATGTTTGAGACACAACATCTTCTTCTTGAAATACTTAGATAATTTGCTGGGAGAAAATTAACAGTCAGTACTGTTGATAACTTCCACTAATATATCCACCAGCAACATTTCCCTGTGGGTGTCTTAGCCCATTGGCATATCAATTGGTATTTCTTGCTGAGCACTCATTCCATACAAACACATACTCCTGAAAACAGTTACATGGCAAGCAAACTGTCAGAAGCATTGTCTCTCAAAAAAGGCTTAGGACGGTAAAGGTATCTGGTCCAAAGTGTACTTAAGTGCCTTCCTCTGAGCATCTGGTGCCAAGTGCTATTGGAGGCAGGATGCTGGCTAATTAGATCATTGAACTGATGAGATTATTATTATTACTTATGTATAGTGCCTTGAGAGCTCAGCAGAGATTGGGGCCCTGATGTAAGAGACAGCCATACAGCAAGTCAGGGACCACTACAGGTCTTGAAACTTGGGTCACAGGAGTCTTAGGCACAAGCACAAGCTCACCTGCCATCTGCTAACAATTACTAGGATAGAAGCTGAACCTCAATAAAGGGCCTAGTGGACAGAGCCACAGGTTCTGAGTCAAAGTTAGGTTGCATCAGTATACCAAGATGTCAGAGGAACGAAACAAACTGGAGATCAGAATGAGAAGTCAGACACTAGGATTCAAGTCAGGCTCGGATGCCAGGAAGTCAAACCAGGGGAGAGGTTGGCAGATCAGCCATAAATTTAAATAGGCATACAGATTTAGACTAGATAATGACTAGATAATGACTAAAAATGGTTTCTAAGGAAAGAGAAAATGTTCCATATTTTTCAGTAGGAGTTAATCTTCAGGACATTTTTAATGAAGTCTATTGGTTTAGCCTTTCCCATGTGAAATAAAAGACCCCACAGTATTTTGCACATGATCCACAGAAGGGAAATGGAAGAACAGATATTATAATGACTAGATAATGACTAGATAATGACTCCAGATGGGATCAGGATTTCATGCAAGTATTTACTGGAGTTTTTTTTGTTTTGATGGTGATTGTTCTGTTTTTAGTTTTGGTTGTTGTTTTCAGACTACCAAGGGTTAGAGCCAACTTCCCTGAGTTTCGTTGGAGCTTTAGGGTCAAAATCAAATTCTGTCAATACTTATAAGTATAATTGATAGACAGAATGCTTTGGGTCCTGTTTGGTCCACAGCTTCTATATAAACCTAGCACAGGAGCACCTAGTGTTCCTGCCCTTCTCTCCCAACTAAACTTCAGGATTTAGTTTCATTTCAATAAGCATCTGAGAATATAAATGAACCCCCACAACCCTTTGGGCCAAATTCCCCACTGTCATATATAAGTGCAATTCCACAAATCAATGACGTTGTATTAACACTGTGTTAACTTTATATGCCTATGATCCTACCTTACTTAGAATCATAGAATCATAGAATATAAGGGTTGGAAGGGACCCCAGAAGGTCATCTAGTCCAACCCCCTGCTCGAAGCAGGACCAATTCCCAGTTAAGTCATCCCAGCCAGGGCTTTGTCAAGCCTGACCTTAAAAACCTCTAAGGAAGGAGATTCTACCACCTCCCTAGGTAACGCATTCCAGTGTTTCACCACCCTCTTAGTGAAAAAGTTTTTCCTAATATCCAATCTAAACCTCCCCCACTGCAGCTTGAGACCATTACTCCTCGTTCTGTCATCTGCTACCATTGAGAACAGTCTAGAGCCATCCTCTTTGGAACCCCCTTTCAGGTAGTTGAAAGCAGCTATCAAATCCCCCCTCATTCTTCTCTTCTGCAGGCTAAACAATCCCAGCTCCCTCAGCCTCTCCTCATAAGTCATGTGTTCCAGACCCCTAATCATTTTTGTTGCCCTTCGCTGGACTCTCTCCAATTTATCCACATCCTTCTTGAAGTGTGGGGCCCAAAACTGGACACAGTACTCCAGATGAGGCCTCACCAACTTACGCCTATCCATCACACATTGATTAATTATACATAACTATAACAATAAATCTCTCAAAGGATTAAATGAAATAATTGGCTACAACTGAATCTGGCTCCTTGAATCTGCAAGCTATGATTGGAAATATTTCAACACTCAGTACTACATTACAGTACAGTCCTAGCTACAATATTGCTCTATTTTGTCACTGTCAGTTCTGCTGAGCCAGAAACACAAAACCACTAAATTTTTATTTTAAAAGGTTTGATTCAAATTTGGTTCTAAAAATGGGTTTATCTCTTGCCTGAACTATTTCTTTCATCTTTAACATAATCTAGTAATTTATGCAGGCATATAGGGACAGATGTTCCAGTGTGGTTCTGGACTGCCAGGGGAATCCGGTCCTAAAGCCGGTGTAACCAGACCTGGGAGGACCACCCCATTAAAAAGGGGGCTACTTAGAACTTCAATAGGGGCTGCAGTACCACTTTTTCTCCCTATCTGCACAGCAGCAGAAACAGGGTGTGGCTGGGACTTCCCTGTGCCACTGTAGCCGCTAACTACAGAATCTGCCCTTTGGGATGGTTGTTGCTTGGCACAGGACTATTCCGGCATTAAAGC